GAAGGGAACTGATGATGAAAAAGTGATGGGTCATATAACTGACTGCGGTGATTTTGAGTTGATTTGTTTTGAAGAATTGTTTGAAATTATCCGGTGTGGTAAACATACAAAGGATGCAACCAGTGATAAGATTCAGGTCCCATTGCTGATCTTCATTCTGGGGTCTCTGCTTCCTGATCTGTCCTTTAAGAGGAGGATTGAAATATTGGACTCCTTGCTAGTATGGGTAGACTCTATTAGTTCTGATCCACCATCACTGCTGTGTAGTTATCTTGAAGGCTTTCATACACTTATTGATGGTTGTGTAACTATACTAGTTCAGAATATTGAATTACTTGGTATCATCATCCTTTCTGTGAGAGAACAGTCTAGGGAGGCTGCAAATTCCATAAGTGGGGATGCCATGATGCGACTTGAGAAGAATTCACAAGATAGTGCAGAGCAGCTACTAGTTAAATCCACAGACAATGCGGAAAAGTCGAAGGGGCCACCTGCTGGTTGTATTATAGAATTTTGTGATGCCCTGGAGAAGGTCATTTCACATCTTACTCTGTCAATTGAGAGTAGCTGGAAATGGCACCATCAGTTGGCCTCTAGGCTGTCTTCATTGATGGCAAAGTGTTTGCTGTATGCGAAATGCTTAAAAGCTGTTACTCAAGGAAACACAATTTCTAGTAGCACTAGGCAAGAGGTGGAGCTTGTACAAAAACACTGGGAGAGTGCTCTTGAAGGTCTTGCAGAAACCATTTTAGGAAATCAGGAAAAGCAGTGCTGGCAGGTGGCATCCTCTATGCTTGACTATATGATTAAACTACCTAATGTTCTTGCTTGGGGTAATGTTCTTAGTGCCACTTGTTCAGCAATCGAGCACTTCTGCTCTCATGCACCTAGGATATCTTGGAGACTGCAGACAGAGAAGTGGTTATCATTATTGGTTTCGGGTGGAATTGAAGACCTCAAGAATAGTGAAACCTCGTTGATTAATCTTTTCTGTACAATGTTGAGTCACGCCGAACCAGAACAACGCTCTGTTGCATTGCAGCAACTTGGGAGGATTATTCACTTGGCGAGTACTGCTGAAGTCGGATCTGGTTCAACAATGACGTCCCATTTGGTTACTCATACATGGAACAGAATAGTAGCATTGGCTCTCTATGACTCTTCTATGCTATTAAGGAATCATGCGATGGCTTTGCTCACTGAATATGCTCCATTTGTTGATAAAAATCATCTGCGGTCATTTCTTGCATCAAGTGACAGTATCCTGAAAGGTGTGGGGCAACTTTCATGTGTAATTGAAGAGGGCTATTTGACACGAATGTCGTTACTGTTGCTTTCAAAGGCATGTCTTTATTCTTCTTCTGAAGATATTGCTTTGATTCCTGAATGTGTTTGGAGGAAATTGGAAAACATGCAAACATCACTAACTGGTAAATTAATGCTTCTCGATTACCCACATTTATGTTGTACCTGTGCCCTTATGTGGGGCTCAACCTTAACAACTGATTATTCAAGTACTTTATTTACTATTTTCTGATGTATTATTAGGAGGTTTTGATGATGTCGAGAAAGATCTCTGTCGAGCTCTATGTCAGCTAAGAACTGAATCTGATGCTAAAACGGTCTCGCTCTAACTTCAATATTATTTTGTGCATGTTCTGGCTACCGAGTACTGACTCTGTGTCTCTTTAGGTTGTAAAAGAACTTCTCGCAGGATCTACTACAAAACCAGTGAACACTGATTATAAGGATATCCGTGAATCAATTCTTCAGGTCATAATCTTTCTTATGATTCATTCTGAAATGCATATTTTGCATCTATAGCATTGTTACTTCTGTTTCTGCTTTATTACTTAAGTCTATGCCATCCATCACAGTTTCAGTTCTAAACTCAACAGAGGTTCACATCGATGAGTGTGCGTGCACTTTTGTACCTAACAATATAAGTGCTTAATACTTCTTCAAATAGCAAACTTCTAGTCATTGTTTGAGGCTTGGAGCAAATTACCTTGACCTTTAGAATTCTTGACGGAAGAATTTTTTGTACTAGTATGCAATAACAACAATTACTGTTAGTTTGAAAGTTTTGGAATTCATGTTCATCTTCCAGAAAACGAAAATGCTTGCAAGCAAGACTGGAATAGGCAGCACTGGCATGCTTGTAATTTTTGTTCAAATATATACTCCTGATACCCTAAGTTGCTGTGCACATAGGGTGTTAATTTCAAGCTCCAGTCCATGCTATGCTGGTAACCTGCTTTTGTGAATCCTTTTTGATAGGTGTTGTCCTCTTTGAGTTCTGTTGAGTCCTACTTTGAGTTCTTCTCAATCAGATCTGATCAGGAATGTCAGGTTAGAGATACAACCAGGGTTTCTGGCCGCCATGTTTTCAATATCTTACTGACACTTAAATAATTACAATACCAAGGAACTTGAAGAAGCTGAGATTGAATTGGAGCTTATTAAAAACGAGAAAGCAGTTCAGAAATTTGTCGGACGTCCTCAGGATACTGTGGCTCCAGGCGTGTTATCATGTAAGATTAGTGACTATTAAGGACTATTATTATGAATATTGTTCCCTTAATGTGCAGTAATGTAATTACATCTACAGATTACAAGGATAGTAGTGAAGTTAATAAACAGCTTCAGCAGATCCGTGAAGATATACGGTCCCTGTAAGTTGACATATCACATTTTACACCTGGTCCAAGTGTACCTTATTCCTCAAGCTCCTGACAGTTACTTTCCCTGGGCAAAACATTCTTATTACCGTGGGAAGTGTGTGGGTGCGGGTGTATTTTTTTACCTTTGACAATGCAACCTTTTTTAAAGTTTAAATTTGCACTGTGAAGATTAGACTCATTATGATAAGTACAGCAATTTTAGTACTCTTACCTTGCTTTACAAATATTCCCAACAAAAATAATGGTTAAAGATTTACCTCAGAGACCATTATGATTTACATGAAGCAAGTCATTGGTTTTGATGGAGGCATGAAGTGCTGCATAATAAGGAGTACTAAATTTCTAAATCCTATTCCTTTTCTGGGCCTTGGGAGTGATAAGTTTTAATACGAAGCTTCATAAGAAAGTTTTGTCTATCCATGAATAGTATCATTTTCTTGCACCAGTTTAATTTTAATTTTGAAGCATTGAAACTTTTTTGTTTGATGGATAGAATCATTGGAACTTATTGTCAGCGTTACTTGTTATGCAGCTAACATGTATTTACTTGATAGAGAACGGTCCAAGCTCAGAGAGGAAATTATAGCACGCCGACAGAAGAAATTGCTTATCAGACATACTCGTGAAAAGTACTTGGAAGAGACGAGTTGCAAGGAAATGGAGCTTATGCAAGAGCTTGATAGGTTTGGAGCTGTTGCCTTTTCATTTGATATATGTCAGAGATGACGACATTTTTTTCTTCTTTCGGAAAGGAGGTTCAAATCCTCGGCCTCTGCATCATTATATGTGCTTGTTCTTATTTTCTCGTTGTATTATCTTTGCAGGGAAAGAAGTCTTGAGATGGAGCGTGACATCGAAAGGCAGCGACAGCTGGATCTCGAGCGTGTGAAGTCTAGGGAACTGCAATATAACCTCGATATGGAAAGGGAGAAACAAACTCAGGTATATGTTGCAATTTTACCCCTTGAAACTGAAATTGCTTATTGGTGTTGTGGCATGTTTTGTTTGCCATCGATCCATGACGCATCAATCCAAAGAGAATAGCTGTAGCTCCAGACTTAGCAAGCCATTTCGTTGGTTTTTCTTGTTGCATCACATGCCGTGCTGATTGACTTGTGCAGAGAGAGCTTCAACGTGAGCTGGAGCAGGTTGAGTTGGGGCGGTCATCAAGGCGGGAGTTCTCAGCCAACCCCAGCAGGTATTGATCGATTCTACCGATTCGCCCATTCCTGGTACTATCTATCGCAACATCTGTGTGATTGGCAACATTGCGCAGCCGGGCGAGGGAGAGATACCGCGAAAGGGATAACAGTAGAGGCGCGCAGCAGGAGGGAAGCCGCGGCCAAGGCCACGAGGGTCAATCACCGGTCGTGATGGGCGGTGCATCAAGGCCATCGTCGTTCCCTACGATACTGCAATCTCGCGACCGTGGCAGCGATGGTGGCTACGAGGAGAACGCGGAGGGAAGCAGGGATTCCGGCGGCGACACCAGCAGCATGGGAGACCCGGAGCTGGACGGGCCGGGGTCGGGCTCGAGGCACGGGACACGAGCTGGCGGCAGCAAGTCGTCAAGGCAGGTGCTGGAGCGGCGAGAGCGAGACGGTAGACGGGAAGGTAAATGGGAGCGGAAGCAATGAAGGGAAAGCCACTCCGCCCAACCCATGATGGCCACCACTCTATTCAGCAGCCATTTGGTCAATTATGCAATGCATCTCTTGCTCCAGCAACTGGCCTCTACTGTTGTAATCAAATCGAGCGTGATGTGCCTATTGCAAATTCTGCGCCTGCAGTGTCAGTGCTACAAAGACAAGGCGGTATAACTAGAAAACAAAGAGATTGGGGTGTGGTGAGGTACACATTGGCTGCACCGCACCAGGCTGACTGACAGCAACACACAACCAACTCATCGCTGCTCTGGGGCAAGGAATGACACTGCATCACTATCACTTCGTGCTCCATAAATATTTGAATAAATAATATTTATAGCCACCCCGCTTGATTGCTCGATTGCAATCACAGTACCGACTAGCTATAGGACATGCATACAGTATTCGGATAACAACTTACAGGTGACTCACCAAACTTTACCTCCCCTGGTTTTTCCGCAAAGAAAAAGAATCAACTGTTGTGTGATCAATAGCTAACTATTGGATCCTCCTATATATGAATATGATAAAACTATATTTATATTACTCATGTAGTTTATTTTGATGACTATGAACCCCCCCTTGTTCTATCAAAGTGTCGACTATGAATCGCCCTCGCCTTTCCGTGGGATCATGGTCAATTCCTGTCACTGAGACTGCTGGTTCGCAGCTATGCCTTCTTTGCCGACCAGAGCTGCTTGTGGCAGATGAGGAGCTTCTCCTTCTCATTCTCCTTGTTCTCGGTGTCGTGCCTGTCGCAGGTCCATCTCATCCCCTTGGCGATGGAGGCCACGGAGTCGAGGAAGTAGGGGTTGTCCCGGATGATGGCGTAGCCGGTCGGACGAAGGATGCGGTCCATCTCAACAAGCACAAATTTCATCTCGCATCTGCAATGCCATGGACAATCGGTTAGCAACTTGAGATCTTCCTTGGCTGAATATGTGGGCGGCAAGATTCTGCAGCACATTACATACCTGTGTGATTCTGCGGTGAACAGGCCGTCGGCGTGCAGCAGATCGTACGTCCGTGGGTACGTGGAGAAGGCCTCGCACCTAATAAGAATCAGCAGATTAATTCCATTCTGACAATGTGGAACAGAGTGCCGAGCAGGATGCAGTTGGAAGAGGTAATGTGTACCAGTCGTGGTTGGTGCCGATGAGTCCTCTGTCGTAGACGACGCCGAGGGAGTTGGGCCCGTAGGAGGAGACGACGTTCATGACCCACACGGGGTCCTTGACGAGGCTCGCCGCGAACCCTCCGTAGACGGTGCTCATGTCCATGACGTTCCGCACCTTGTCGCTCCCCAGCGCGGGCAGCAGCGCCTTGTAGTGCTTCGTGGCCGCCTTCCACTTGCCGTCGTCGTGCTTCATGGCGCTGCCGCTGCCGCCGGGGACAACGGAGACGCGCTCCGGCGCGACGCTCAGCCTCTGGGGCCACTTGGGCAGCGCCTTGCCGCGGGACTTGGGGCTGGGCGCGGTCACGCAGGAGCGCATGGGCACGTACCACGCGGCGTCGGCGTCGACGCTGTCGTCGCACTTGGCCGGGGTGGTCACCGGCGTCAGCTTGTCGTAGCAGCCGGCGTCGAGGGACTTCTGCCACACCGCGATGTCGCCCTTCTTGTTGTACAGCCGGAAGCACATGCTGGCGAGCATCTTCTTGAGCCGGTCGAAGTCGGCTTTCTGCGCCTCCACCGTGGTGTTCCAGCCGTGCCACCGGTTCTCGTAGTTGATGGGCGGGCCCGAGAGCACCCAGAAGCCGCCGGGCCGGAGCACCCGCTGGATCTCCATCAGGTAGAGCCCGCCGAACTCCGTCCACGGGATGAGGCACCTGGAGCAGTGCGCCATGTCCATGGAGGCCGAGGGGATGGGCAGGCGCTGCGTGGAGATGATGCCGAGGATGGCCGGGATGCCGCGCTCCAGCGCGAACTGCACCTGGGCCTCGTGGTTGTCCCTGGGCGCCAGCGACACGGTCAGGATGTTGCGGGCCAGCAGGTCGCCGCCCCAGCTGGCGACGCCGCAGCCCGTGTCGAGCGCGGTGCGCACGCTGCCGTCCTTCATGCCGGGGATCAGGTCGGCCATGAGGTCGACGTACGCGCCGACGCCGTTGGGGAACATGGTGCCGCCGCCGGGGAAGGTGAAGCGGTCGCCGTCCTTGCGGAGCCAGTGCTGGTTGGACTTCTGGCTGTTGATCCAGTCGTAGGGCACGTTGCGGTACCAGCACTGGTCCTTGCTCTTGGGCCAGCGGATGGGCGGCTTGTAGCCCCGCGGCGGGGGCACCAGGCAGACGGCGCGCTCCGGCGGCGGCGGGCAGTGCCGCTCCATGAAGCTGAGCCGGTAGTTCCCGTACCTCCTCCAGCGCTTGGGGTCGGTGCAGGGGGTGTAGTCCTGGTAATCAGCGGGGCACTCTGAAAACTCGACCTCGTCGTCGCCGTTGCCGTTCCTGGCAATGGCGAGCGCGATCGCGGAGCCCTCCTGCTTCGCCGTGGAGACGATGGGGATGATGCTGGTGGTGGTGGAGGAGAAGGTGAAGGTGCGGCCGGTGCTGTACATGCCGCCGAGGTAGAAGGAGAAGCCGCAGAGGAGGAGGAGCATGAGCGCCACCGGCACGGCCCTGGCGCCGCCGCCGCCGCCGCCCGCCCTCTCGGGCTTGGCCTCCTTGCTGTACTTCATCGCCCTGCCCTCTGCCCTGCGGATGGGATTGGGTCTGATTTTTTAAAGTTTGTTGAGGGCAGGGCATCAGAATCGGTAACAAACCCCGTACGAGAATACGCACGCGATTTCCGGACCGGATACGCAACGAAATTATCGAGGATACCAGAAGATTGACGATGAAATCTCTCTTATACTACTACAAAAGACGTACCTTTGGGCTGAATTGGAAGTTTGGAACCAAACGAACGGAACCAGGGAGCAGAGGTTGCGAGGTCTTGAACACGATCGATTGGTCGGTCGATATATAGCTGCTAGCCGGGAAGGAAGGCAGATGCGTGTGGGCTGATCGGCTCTCGGCACGCCAAGGAGATTTACGTTACTACTCCATTACTAGGTTAGATCTGAATGAATATAAAAATAGAAGGATTATCACGCCTAAACAAAACGACCAGATTATAACAAACGAGAATTGGCAGGCTGATTGGGCAGGCAATTATGGGAGTATCTCTAGCGGTGGCCTGGCCGCCCTCTGTTTGTGTAGGCCGGACACTCGGGGAGTTTTAAAGACCTCATTGACGACGGTTAGGCACGCGCCCACTCCCATCACCATCGTCGTCTTCTTCCTCCCTCAATAACAACTGAGTGCATTGTTATCATGGGTTAATTGGAAACGCCCCGACTCGGCCAACCCAAAGCAAAACATCAATAATTGCAAATGATTTACCGTCATGTAGGTACATCTAGTGAAAACAAGTCACATGCTTATTTAGACCGACTGTTTCGTCTTGATTGCGAAGATTGACTCATTTCCCTGTATGTTCAACGTCAACGGACTAGTGGAATAGTGGATGCCCATGCACGCCGCGGTACGTATTCCCTCCGTTTCAAGATATAAAACCAGATTTCATTATGGACTACGCTACGAATGTATATAGACATATGTATTTTAGTAGATTCACTCGCTTTGCTTCGTATGTAGTGCATAGTGAAATCTTTAAAATATCTTATATTTAGGAACAGAGGGAGTAGGCTAGAGTGTAGCTGCACATCTACGCGCGTACACAGGTACACTGCAGGGAATTTCTTTCTTTAATTCGATGTGGCCGGTCATACATCACATTGTTGGCTTTGTCTCGGCTGTTAGTGTGGCATTACAGCAAGATGGGTTTGGCGGATCGCATTTAGTCAGTCAGCTCGGTGGAGGAGTGAGGGAGTGAGTGAGCGTGTGGGTGCGCCACCACCCACAACGACTGCCTCACTCGTCCACACCAAGCCGTGGACGCGCAGTCCTTCACCACAAAAATGAAAGAAAATGTGGACGCGGAAATTGCAATCGCATGCAAGTAAATATCTGTCAGCTGTTAATCGTGTTTAATTACGCTCATGCATACCAGTAGTCCAGTACAACGACAGGAGCTAGGATTTTGCCACCCAAGGGGATGAAGCCCCACGCACCGGGGCGAAAGTAGCAACTCTAGTTTTGCTGCATGAGTTTTGGTACATGCACCGAATAGAAAATACTGGACCGCCCGCCCGCCCGTGACCACAGCAAAGATGCGTCGGTTTTGTTGGCCGGCAGCCGTGCGGCACAGTGAGTGAATCGACCATATGTAGAAGCTAGTACCTAGGCCAAGGCCAGTGAAATCAAGCTAGATATAGCTGCTAGTAGCCGCTCACTCGCAGACAGTAGATAGAGTATCACTCGATCGTCACGCGTAGAGACGACGATTTGGCTTAATCTGCCACTGCCAGACTGGCTGGCAACGGATCAATCAATCTGTCGGTGGCACCGATCGATCGATCCCCATATGGATGCATCATCACATATACGGTTCCACTGTCGCTCCTTTCTTCCTGCTCTACCACCTCGCTAGCTAGCCATAAATGCGGTTCGATGGAGCGATCGACCATGCGCGCTCCGCCACCGCCACCGCGCGACCGTGCATGTGCGCCCTCACGTGCACGTACACCGCCCCGAGATTTAGCGGGAGCTAGCGACCAAACTAAATGAATTATTTATCTACAGCAGCGTAATCCATTATGCAAATGTGCATATCACGGGAACCCTATCTATTACGGAGAAGATCGTGTGTGTACATGCAAGTGACATGCATGCGTGCTTCGGTAGCCTGTCGCGTTCGCTCCAGTTGGCCCGGTCGGATCATATATCTCTCCTCTTTTTTTTTTTAAGCTAAACGGATCATATATCTCTCCTCGATCCAACGCCGACCGACACGAGCGTGCAAGCTGCGTGTTACATCCTTTTTCTGTACGGACAGTAGAACTTGTCCATCTCATGCACACCTAGGAGCATCTACAGCCGAACTTGACAAATTCGGTCTCCTATATGTCTGCGGACTTATCGGGCACTCCCGCAGTATCTTGTGCCCGACATTCATATATCTCAAATATGGACTCTCAAATACATGCAAATTCATGCACGTTCATCATACACGCCAATACCACACATAAATAACACATATTGGTAGCCAATATATATAGTTCTTACATAAAATTTATTTTAAGTGCACAACTCAAACATTAGCTCTTTGGTTTCATTGTGGGTCCACATATCCTTCACAAGATCACTTAGTAGCTGCGTGTGCATCTGACGATCTCGAAGATTCTGATGCATCTGCAGAAGATTCATAAGCTGATTTGCATCTTGATCTTCCGGGATTTGAGTTTGTGCTGCAGGCGCTTCAAAATCATTGATTTCTGCAACACCATCACCCTCATCCTCGACAATCATATTCTGCAAAATAACACGACATGTCATCAGCTGCTACAAAGTTTTTGATTCCCACAGCGTTGTACCTCCACAAACAATTCCCCAACGAGCTTAAAGCACTCCGAATGCCCTCTTCACATTCTTCCTAGCCGCTTCCTGCATTGATGCAAAGTGACTTTATTTGTTGCCTTCAGATATAGTCTTCAAAACGCCGCCCACTGAGGATAGATGACATCGGCAAGATAGCATCTCATGTTTTAGCCACAGCCGTTGACAGTGTATTTGCATGGCGGCGATTATCCATTACAAAGCCTCCTGGACACAGGAGATCGTTGAAGCACGTTGATGTTGTTGTGAGAACCCGAAATTCCAAAGAAAGCATGTCAAATCCATAAGTCATGTGATGCCACTGCTTCCAATATGATGGCGGCCTCTTTGGTGTGACCTTGATACATTCCCCCCAAACCTTTGGGGCAGTTCTTCCATTGCCAATACATGCAATCAATTGATCCGAACATTCCTAAAAACCCTCTGGCCTCTTCAATAGACAACAACTTTTCTATGTTCTGCACCTTTGGTTCCCTCAGATACTCTGCTCCAAACACCTGAACTACGGCATGGGCAAACTTGACAGTAGTCTCCACGCATGTGCTCCCCCACCCGGACCATATCAGCAACGACATATGTGGCAGTACCAAGTGCAAGCATCCTCAGAGCAGCCCTGCATTTCTGCTTAACACACAAAGAAAGTTGGCCGCAAAAATCCCTTGTGGGCTTGAAGTAGTCATCGTGTGCCTCCACTCCCTCCATAATGCGCAAAAATAATGGTTTCCGCATGAGAAAATGCCAATGAAACCATGGATCATCCAGAAAAGTGGGGCTCAGAGCAAAGTACTCTCAGTGCAGTAGCCGTGCTCTAGAGACCCTATCCCGTTTGATCACTCTTCTCCCTTTGATTGAGCCCTTGTGAAAGTGCAACTATCCCTGGGTGGTTTTGGTAATTCCTAACAACATATAACTCATTGAGCTAATGCTATTTCAAGATAAATATTTCAAGAAAGCTCAATGATTGGCATGGCATGGATGAGAAAAGTGGACCCCTCAAAATGCTAAGGACAAAAGGATTGGCTCAAGCTCAAAGCACAAGACTCTACATTTTACTTTTAGTGATCCAAGGTCACATTGAGTCCATAGGAAAAGCCAATACTATCAAGAGGGGATGAGGTGTTGCTTAATGAGTTCTTGCTCAAAGTGCTTAGTGATATGCTCCAAAATCCCTCAACTACTTTCTCACATCCACATATGTCCCAAACCAAAAGTCAAACTCGGCCCCACCAAAACTGTCTATCCGACGCCACCGAGTTCATTTGTCATAGCCATTGCCACAAACCCTAGTCTTTTCGGTCTCACCAATAGGGATCTCGGTCTCACCGAGATGGGATTGTAATATCTCTGTTTCCCTTCGTAACGTTTCGGTCAAACCGAGATGAGCGATCAGTCCCACCGAGATTGCAATGCAAACTCACTGTTTCCCTTTCGTAACGTTTCGGTCCAACCGAGATGAGTGAATTGGTCCCACGGAGTTTGCCTGACCAACTCTCTGTGTGTCTATTACCAAAATCGGTCTCACCGGGTTTGTGTAATCGGTCTCACCGAGATTATGTTATGCCCTAACCCTAACCATATTGGTCCCACCGAGTTGACATGTCGGTCCCACCGAAATTCCTAACGGTCACATTATTTACTAAATCGGTCTGACCGAGTTTCACGATTCGGTCCCACCAAGTTTGGTAAGTTGTGTGTAACGGTTAGATTTTGTGTGGAGGCTATATATACCCCTCCACCCACTCTTTATTCGTGGAGAGAGCCATCAGAACATGCCTACACTTCCAACATATATTTTCTGAGAGAGAACCACCTACACTTGTGTTGAGGTCAAGATATTCCATTCCTACCACATAAATCTTGATCTCTAGCCTTCCCCAAGTTGCTTTCCACTCAAACCTTCTTTCCACCAAATCCAAATCCCGTGAGAGAGAGTTGAGTGTTGGGGAGACTATCATTTGAAGCACAAGAGCAAGGAGTTCATCATCAACACACCATTTGTTACTTCTTGGAGAGTGGTGTCTCCTAGGTTGGCTAGGTGTCACTTGGGAGCCTCCAACGAGATTGTGGAGTTGAACCAAGGAGTTTGTAAGGGCAAGGGGATCGCATACTTCGTGAAGATCTACCCTAGTGAGGTAAGTCCTTCGTGGGCGACGGCCATGGTGGGATAGACAAGGTTGCT